TTCCCCTAATTTCTCTTGATTCCCCCCCCCCCCCCCTCTCAAGTTTCATTGCATCCTACATCAGTTTCCTTATGATGTTAATTCTCCTCTCGCTTCTATGCAAAGCATCACAAACAGCTGTGGCACTAGGTCTGAAAAATTTCCTTTTTCTTTTCACAACATGATTTATACACAAAAAACAAGTAGAACCAGCAAACATCTAGAATAAAAAATGTCTCTTCATGTTCATGGATCTCAAAGTCAGAAAGCATATGATTAACCACTTATTTCATGGTTATACAGGAACTATTACTGAATTAGAGAAGTCTAACCGAAGACAGAAAATACCTTTCTTTGTGTCCGCAATTCCAAGAAGCTCAACAAGCTCCACATGATTTTTTAGCTTTGACTCGGTCCTCTTCTCACCCCATGAGCGAACAATGGCATTGTTTGCCTAAAAAAATATTTTGTTAATTAACGTGGCAAATGAATCACCCAAGGTTCATATAAACTCACGAAATACAGAAATATTAAGATTCACCTCATCATTGCTAACTGGAACTGAATCATGTACAAGGTTTCCAACATTTCCCCATCTTGCATCTACAGCTATTTTAGCCTCTTGCACTTCTACCTCTTTCTGTGCAATCAATTTCCTGTTATCCTCAGTAGCTGAAATCATTCCGCTTGCATCTTCCCCCGACTTTCCCAAAAAAAAAAGAAAAAGAAAGAATTAATAAGAGAGGGAGACGTGAGTCAAAAGCCCAAAAACATAAGCTCAAGAGAGTGCCATTACTCAGTAGCATGTCCACTCAGATTCAAAATACCTAAACAGGTTAGAGTGCTATGCTGAAATTCATCAACCGCCATTTTTAAGCTTTAAATACGACAGACCTAATTAACTTTAAAATTTGAAATAATAATCTCGATTCAAGATCAGACAAATCTCTTGTTTTCCGGTTTCCCTTCTGATTCCATTTGCAATATCTTGGCACTGTGGTAATTACTACATCTTGGCATTTATTATGACATCCTGACTCTACTTCTCTCAGGAAGTGCGACGATTCAAAGTACAGGCTTCACCTTCTTTCAGAGTCTTCTCGAAAGTTCTAATTGCCTTTAAGGTACAGAACAAAGAGAGAGGTAGATTTGGGGCTTCACATTTATTGTTATCCTACTAAACACGTATCCCAAATCTGCATTATACTTAAATCCGAAATATGGTAAAAATTTCAATAAATTAGAAACTAAAAAACAGAACATTGTGTAAATGAAATCACACTCACCTTTGTTTAGCAATATTTTTTTTTCCCTTTTCTTTCTAACTAAACAGTAATTTTCGAAATTTATTTTACATATTCTTCATCATACTTTCAGTATTTTGAGGAGGCCATTCGATTCAGCGAGGCACAAAACAAAAAGTATCCCAAATTAGAGAAAAATATAATCATAAAATTAACAGACAGAAAAGAGAACGAATCACTCACAATTCGGAGTCGGGCAACCTCTTTATTAATCTTGTTAAAATCCTTCCTCAATCCTTCCAGCTCAAATTGACCTACAATAGTTATCTCATGAAAACTGTATAAATTCACAAAATCGAGGAAAAACAGCAAAAGAAATGATAGAAATAATTACGCTGTCGCCATTCTTTGTCGAGTTTAATGACCTCGTCGATCAGATTAGGGTCAGAAAATCGACGTCGCTCAGACTCCCTAACCTTCTCCGGGTTGCCACCCTTTTCTTCTCTGATCAGATTTATGTCCAACATCCTTCTCTTTATCTGTAATAACACAATCGTGAGCAAATATCACACAAAACTATAATATAGAGAAGGAAATTATACATACGTCGATAGATATAGAGAGAAACTATAGAGAGAAAGGGAGAACGACGCTAGAGATAGACTATATTAGAGCATCCGACGGCGAAATTTTTTAGAGGTTGAAGATTCGAGTTAAGGGTTTTGAAACGTTAAAGAAAATAAATATTATATTGTCAATCTGACCCGTAAGGGTTGAGTAATTGTAATTTAGTCACGTATTTTAACAAATATCACTATTTCCCCCCTTTTTT